TGGGGGAGCAGGGAGTGGGAAAGCACAGCTGTCACTGTGCAGGGACACGGTCACACCTAAGGTTCTGTGGTGGCTCTGGCCACTCTGTGTTTTGCCCATCTTCTGCTGTTCTGGCCCAAATTTGCTGCCAGCACAACATGGCTCTGTGCCAAGCCCCTTATGGGTGCTGCAGGGCAGAAATGGGATGCCCCAGGAGCCAGGGAGAAGGGAGCAAACAGCAGGCAAGTTGGCAATTGAGATTTATTAAACATGGGTCACCCCAAAGGTCACCCCAAATTTCAGCAGGAAACACACAGGCCCTTAAGGGGGGAAGCTGACCACGAACTCTTGAGTGAGGAGAAGCCCCTGTCCCTCACATTTGGGTGCCTGGGCCTCCTCCCTTCCCCCTCAGTGTTCTCAGAGAGACGCACAAGACTCAAAGCCTGCTTCTGTCCTACAGGCATGATGTTTCCATGGGACATCCCCAGGCAAGAGGAAGGAGGTTGAGTGCAAGAAGTGCCACCAAGGGAGCCATCAGAAGAAGCCACACCACCTCCAAAAGGTAGGGTTTTTTCCAAAATATAGCTTGTCCCAATGGACACCATGATGGAACCAACAAAGGGGTGCAGCAGAGGAACAAAGCCCCTGCCACAAGTCACGTTAATTTGTGCCACGTTACTGTTCTATTTGTGCCATGTTGTTATTCTTGCAAAGCATCAGAACAGCACTAAAGCAGCGCAGGGACCTCAGCAGAGACCCAAAGGGAGCTGGGAGGGGAAGCAGTAGGAAAATCAGGGCAGATCTGTGGTGAGGAGCAGGCCGGACACCGCCGATTTGGGAGGGGGCACGTTGGGCGCTCCCCAAAAATCACCGCACACTGATCACGCCATCAGGGACTCTGTTCGTTGGTGTCCTATATGGTGACCTATGTCTTGGGTGGCTGGTGAGGAATGGGACAAGATTCAGCCAGAGGAGGGACACATCTGGAGGAAGCCTACTCAGTCTTGGAAGCCACGGTGCCATTGGATGCTCCCGGGTCTTTCTTGGAGGTCCCGATGCCGTTGGACGCTCCCGGATCTTTCTCTCGGAGCTTGCGCAAGTAATCGTGGGGGCCTTTGCCCTCAAAGGACGTGGGGCTCTTGTAGGAACCCCCAATCTTGTCCCAGAGGGTGAAGTACTGCCCATAGTTGTAGTCGAAGTACAGGTGGTGGTCGGTGTGGTGGGCAGAGCCGTTGATGATGTGCCGCAGCAGCCGCGGCACGCGGTAATCACCGTCGTGGATGGAGATGGTCCAGACGTTGACGAAGATGTAGAGGCCCAGGTAGGTGACTTTGTGCAGGGGGAACAGGAAGGGGTAGATGTGGTAGGGCAGGCTCTGCATGAAGCCATCCACGGGGTGGAAGGCGTGGCTGGCGAAGGGCGTGGCGATCTTCCACAGGTGGTGGGGCTTGTGGAAGCGCTGCGGGGACACGGGGCTGTCAGTCAGGGTGGATCCCCAGAGCCAGATTCGTGGCCCCAAGGGATGCTGTGTAAACCACCACCACCCAAACTGAGAGGGGGACATGTGCCCTGTCACAGACATCTCTTATGAAGAAATCCTTTCTTTAGGATTTTTCCTCCTGAGAAGCTGGGGGGCCTCAGGAACAAAATGTAAACAATGGTTATCTGCTGCTGTAGAATGCAACAAGTAGATCTTTGATTAGCCCATGTTGGTTGTTTCTAATTAATGGCCAATCACAGCTGACTCAGTCAGAGAGTCTGAGCCACCAACCTCTGTTATCATTCTTTCTTTTTCTATTCTTATCTAACCTTCTGCTGAAATCCTTTCTTCTAATCTTTTAGTTTTTTAGTTTATTTTATGATCTATATTATATTAAAACTATTTTATGATATATATTGTATTGTAAACTACTCTTACAGTCTTAATGTAATATATATCATAAAATAATAAATCAAGCCTTCTGAAACATGGAGTCAGATCCCTGTCATGGTTATGGAGTGATGGTGACAGTTGGTTATTGTTTTTGATACTAGGAAATATAGAGGAAGGTTAATTAATAGTGTGTTGATGACCATCACATGGTGAAGCCTTGCTCAGCCATTCCCACCCCAGCATGCAGCTTGGAAATGTCACCAGAGCAGGACAAGGACTCTTGTCCAGAGCCCCCTGTCCTGTCCCATACCTTATAGAACAGCTTGTGGTGGAGACCACGGTGTATCCAGTAGATGCCCATGTCCGTGAAGAAGAGGAAGGACAGCATGCTGAGGAAGACACCAGACCAGCCTGGAGAGGGGGGACAGGGCTGTTAGAGGTGGCACATCAGGAGGCTGTGAGGGTCCCCACAATGATCCTCGTGGTGGGAAACACAGTTGAGTCATGTCAGGGGCTGCCCCACTGAGGTGACAGGCTGAGGCTGTCCCATGTGGGCATCAGGAGGCAGTGAGGGTCTCCACAATGGTCCTCGTGGTGGGAGACACAGGTGACTTGGGACAGAGGCTGCCACACTGAGGTGACAGGCTCAGGCTGTCCCACGTGACTCAGGGCAGGTGAGTCGGGTGCTGTTTCACTGGAGCTGTGCCAGGGAAGGGAAGGATCTCTTGTGGAGGATGGAGTGTGTCAAGGAGGGGGACACAACCCCGAGTGAGGGTGTCTGGGTGCTCTCCTACAGAGAACCTGGGCTTTTGGCTGACAGGCTGGCACAGCAGGTACCCAGGGGGATCTCCTGGGGTTGCCATCGGGAGAAATGGGGTCTGAGGGAGGTGACCCAGGGGTGGCAGGGGGTGCAGGGAGGTCACTCACCATACGGGGAGTCCTCGATGTTGTCGTAGAGTTTGCTGTAGCCCCGCACCTCGGCGAAGAACAGGGCGACGGTGGGGACACTGATCCAGGGCAGGGAGCGCAGGGCGTAGGAGATCTCCCGGCTCACCTGGTTCTGGGGGTGTGACAACAGGGTCAGGGGCACAGGGGACATTTCCTGGCTCACCTGGCTCTGTGGGGTGTGACAACAGGGTCAGGGGTACAGGGGATATTTCCTGGCTCACCTGGCTCTGTGGGGTGTGTCAACAGGGATCAGGGGTCAGGGGACTTTTCTGAGCTCACCTGGTTCTGTGGGGTGTGGCAAGAGGGGTCAGGGGGCACAGGGGACATCTCCACCTGGTTCTGTGGGGCACAGGGGACATCTGAGAGCCCCAGTGCCCCTCATATGGCCAGGAGGGCGTCTTGGCCACCCCTTTGTCGTGGCATCTGTGCCATGGTGTGGGACACAGAGTGCTGCTCAAATGGGAACAGCTGTGCTCGAGCTGGGTGTTGGGGTCAGTGGGATGTGGCACAGGGATGAGGCAGAGAAGGGTGGATGTGACAGTGGGGACAGCCCGTGCCACATCACTGGCAGGTGACATTTGGATGGACAAGGGGATGGCGAGGGGGACAGTGCCATGCAGGGCCTGGGCGAGTGTCACAGATATCTTTTATGAAAAATCTTTTTCTTAGAATTTTTCCTCCTGAGAAGCCTCAGGAACAAAATGTAAACATTGATTATCTGCTGCTGAGGGATGCAACAGGTGCATCTGTGATTGGTCCATGTGGTTGTTTCTAATTAATGGCCAATCACAGTGAGCCTCCCTCCCCCTCAGAGCCCTGTGAACACGGTGAGCAGTCAGCAAGGAGCACTCACCTCCAGGAACTGGGGATGTTTCTTGAGCTCGTGGTCGAAGATGAAGTAGTAGCTGAGGGTGCCGAAGAGCAGGTAGAGGGCGAGGGCGCCCAGGTTGGTGATGACGAAGAGG